TTATCAAGTGGTACATTATTATTGTAAAACCTTAAGTGCCTAATATAGTAATATTATATGTAGGTAGATATCAATTATACACAGTGATTTCAATATTGAAGATAACCTTTGTCATTGGGCCAATTTAAACCGTATAAAAATATTAAACAAGTGGTTTAAAAAACCAATAAATAAAATAGCTACAAGATAAATATTTTTAATACTATATACTACTACTACTACCAATAATAATATTACTAGATACCCGTATTTTGTTAGTATTATAATTTATAGGAATATATTCTTAAATATACTATTATTAATATACCTCTGTGTTGAAATTTGAAAAGTTGTTTGAGGATTTATTTTATTACACGATATTAAAGTAAAATTTATTTTATATCTAAAAGGTAAGTACCTACATTCAATTATAAAATGAATAATATCAAAATTACTTTTTTTGAATTCTATCAAACTATATCGCACTTTGTAAGACAAATTCTGCGTAGGTATCATGAAAATTAAAAGACTAGAAGCTAATTAATTTTTGGTCACCGTAAACTGACAATCTCTTAAAATAATCCTTTGTGTTTGGTTGAAACTTTATGGTCAATAGTTTGCAACCGACAACAGTTTTCCTCGTGGTTGGTGATTACGTCTAGGTAAACGTTTCAGAGAACGTGGAAAAACCGTTATTCACGATTATAATGCAATAGGATCTGAAAATGTTTTTGTTGAAACAATATAAGACCTATTTTTATGAAAGCCACAAGAAAACTCTGAAGAACAACATTTGAAAGTACTTCATGATACCATAATACAATAATGTAATACGATTTCAAAAGAATTTTATTTTTTATTTAAAATGAAAAGTGATAATTACTCATAATAAATAAATTTCAATAAATCATAATGTACAGTTAAACATTTTTGGTACAATGATAGTTTTCTAAATTAGTTAAACATAACAACTGAGAGGCTTCATTTCTTTTTTATTATGTAAATAATTATGGTGATATCGGGAAATTAGCCGTCATAAATACTTTAACTAGGTAGCAAACTTTTAAACCCTAAATTGTTATCTTTTAAATTTGAAGTAAAAAAATTCCTCTTTCATGAAAAGAGATACTTTTGAAAAAATGTCCTTATGTTTATCTCAGAAGTCAACCTTGTCATAAATCTTATCATAATTCACTGTCTCGTAGTGTTTCCTGATGAACTTTTTTCTTTTTCAACTACTCGAACATATGGGTTTCAAGATTAAGTGGCAACAGTGCCAAGTCTGTAGAAGAGCTTCCGGTTTAGGACAGATGTTAGATTGTTTTCTTCCTATCATAATCACAAAACTATATTCATAAAAACATGACACATTAAATGTGTGTCTGTATTCATAATATAAATCTGTAGACTTCAAAACAAAATCTCATGGTCAATATTCTATTTAAAATTGATGTTATATTAGACATTTACTTAGTTTTATATAGTTAGTTAACCGTTTATTATTATTTTAAATGTTTCAATATTGAGAGTTTGGTGGATAAATGATTAGGTAATTGTATAGTTATGATGTACCTATTTAAAATACTAAACAGCTCAATTGCGTTCAAACCTATAATAATGATCAAAAGAGGTTTTCTTTTGAATACAAATTGTTTTGTTTTACCTATGTAATATTAATTATAATTTATTTATGTTACATTAAATAATACAAAACTGTTAAAAATTAAAGTTAAAAATATGTATTCAACAAAATAATTGTACAAGTTCATATGTTTAAATGCTAAAATGCTAAATACAAAATTTCATAAGTAATGGGGTATTTTAAGTAGCTGCAGTAATGTGTAATCAAAGGAAAGTTTATTTAAAAGATCATGTTTTAAATTTTAATTCAACCTATTTAATTATTTAAATGCATTAAAAAAAATGTATTTTTTTTAAATGTTATAAATTCTTGAAATATGCTTAACTGAACTACTGAAGTGTACAAAAGTATGTTTAACGAATACGATGTCTATTAAAATATACATTTTTTTTTTATAAAATATATATTCAAAGTACCTAATATATTAAATAGGTAATTAAACAGATTACCACGATATAGGTAACAATTGATTTTATTTAAACGTATATAATTATAAATTATTCAAATAACAGACCTGGACGATGAATATTTTATGATAGTTACTGAATAAAAGATACTGCCATCAGTGATGTTCATCAATACCGAGCAGAATTTTTTTCTGTTCCTATAAATCTTGTTTATATAAATAGTCACTGAGCTCACATTGATACATTTTTCGATAAACTCACAAAGCATTTTATAGTCGCAACTAAATCGTGTTTCAAATTCGAGTGGTGTACAGTTTCATTCCAATTCATAATAAGTCGATTTTATATACTCAGAATAAAATACCTCAAGTGACTATTGTGCTTTTTCTCAATCCAATAGTGGTTGTTTGGCTGCAAACAATTTTATTTGAACGATGTAATTCACCTCACTTGCTACTAAAATACCGTGATGATTGGCATTCAGAAAGCAGTCAACTTGATAAAAGCCAAATCTTAAATGTTGTAGCTATTTTTTTAAACAATGACCCCACGGGAATAATTCATCCCTTTAAGAAAATCGGGTGAATCATACTTATTTTCAGTCAGACAGTTTGGTAAATAAATTAAGTCGGTTTAAAACATCATCTAACAACACCCAACAACCATCAACTGCATTTAAAATGCCGCGTCAGCCTGGAGACGAGCTCATAAAATCCATGCGAGAACCGTCTAAATATCGATTGAATTATAAAGTTAAATAATAATTATAATTTTTATAAAGTTAACAAGTCTACGGGGTTTAAATATGAAATTAGGCAATAATAAACAAATTTAGATTTGCTGTTTTTTAATATTCACGTCACGTCTTTCCATTACCCGTTGTTCCTATTAATTAAACTTATAATTTGTTAATAATCACACCTTATAACGTAGTTGGCAAACGGCGTGTTCATTCGCTCTTGTTTGGCGTCTAATCATCATATTATTTGATGCTTTTGAATTGCACTTGTATACAACCTTTTATTAATTATTATATTGTTAACACTTTCAATTTCATCATGGATCTTCCGAGTGCGTCCTTAAAAATATATGTCCCTTATGACCGAATGCGTCCCAAACTAAACACTATTTTCATATTGCATTGACCATGTATGTACTTCCCAGTTTGAATAAGCAGTGTCTTTCATGGTGGAGGTGTACAAGATAACTACCCGAGAATTTGATTTTTAAATTTTATTCAATACCCTGAGGTAAAAACACCCCCTCCCCCTTTCAAGTCGCTTTACGACTCAAGATTCCCCGTTTTGTATCCAGAAATTTTAAATCTATAATTTAAAAGAATGTACATCGATTCCGTCGAAATTAACTTTTGCCTTCAAGAAACTTATTGATATCTGTCTGCTTTCGACTCCCTAGAACTAGTGTGTGTTGATTGTGTTGTTGTGCTTATACCTATACTATTTTTATGCACTCAAACTGAAATTTGTAGTTAGTCGAAACGTTACTTCTAAGTTCTAACATAAATAATTGAGACTGCACACAAATCAAATCGGTGTAAACAAATATTATGGAAATAAAACAAAAATTATGAGGTATGACATACATTTATCGAGGATTATTTATAAAAAAAATTGATAAATTTACTTTTATTAAAGTGGCATGAAAAATATTACTATTTTAAAAAATCTAAATATTATTTTATTTTTTAATATTAATAATAACCCCCCTTTCCAATCGAATTATTTAATTTATATTATGAGTACCTATACTGTATTGTATTATAGACATTTTTACAATGTATTTATTATTTTTTCTGCCGTGTACCTATAATGCAGAGATTCTCAACCTCTTTAGCTGTGAGGACAACCAATTTTGAAAAATAATCTTTGAGGCCCACAAATAGCTCACCTATATACGAATACATGAATATATATGTATAATGTATATATATATGACAAAGTCAGTTCTTAGAACTAAAGACAATTAAAAAATCAATTGTTTATCATGAAATTGAACATTTATTAAATTTAATCACAAGTTAAACAATTTGATGTGATTTTTGACATTACTTATCTTTCGTGAGAGAGTCAATATCGGGGTGAAAACTGGATGGTTTTAGAATCAAATCACTTTCAAAATTCAGTTTATTCCTATATTTAGGGTTAATTATACATTAATTTGGCTCCATAGAGTGTAGGTAATATTGATAAATATTATTAGATATATATTAAAAATATATGATAATATTTTTTTAAATATAATATATATAATATTATATATTTATATGGTTCACCGTTCACGGCCCAGTACCACGCTGCTCGAGGCCCATGGGTTGGGAACCGCTGCTATAATGCATATTATATGGATGGATAGCCGGTGGTATCGATAAAACATTATTTAAAATATTTAATTATAAAATGTGTGGTGAATAAGATTTAAAAAACTTTTTTTACATATTTATTAGGGAGATTTTTTTTTTATAAATTATAAAGTGTTCCTGACAAGGTCATCTAACTTATTGATAGCAAATTTTACATTTTTTTAGCAATTTAACTGTTGATAGTAGTGCATATTAGGAGATTACAACACAGATTTGTTCTCAACTCATTCATAAATTACATATTAATGAAATCAATGTTCTGTGTTTCAAATTTTCCGATGTTGTCCTCAATTAACTGGCTTTAGTTTTTCTGGTGTTTGATAAGAATATTGAGGTCAAATAATTTATTATTTTGTATTTTGAATTTATATTTTTAAAAATCAATTTACGGTTGAGGTGTATAAAATGACGAAGTAAAGATACGGACTCAGTCGGGCACCGACCAAAACTATCATCTCGGCTGCACTTGGGCAATTTAATAGGTAAACAATTTTGAAAACCAGACATACTCAGTTGACACAAATTCAGTTCCACCGGGCTCGTCTCTTTTTTTTCAAGCGAATTAAGTCAAATGCGTATATTAATGTATTACCTTGGTGACGCGGTACACGGAACCTTGGAACCGCTGCCCCCGGGATTCAGCCAGTTCGCGGCCAGCTTGCAGCTTGATCTTGACCAGCTCGGCAGGGCACAGGACCACGGACGAGAACACGGACGCCGCGCATCCGGCCACAGCGTTGCTGAGCGCGTCCATCTGCTTGGCGTCCCGGGCCCCGGTGACCGCGGCCACTGCGCGCTGGCACAGGCCGTAGCACGCGAACAGCACCGAGTTCTCGGCCACGCCGGCCACCATGGCCGGCGACGAGCCGGCGTACAGGCCCCGCAGACCGGACTTCCGGTACGTGTGGGCCAGACAGTGCGCGGGCCCGGAGTAAAGGCCGCGGAACGTCTGCAGCTTGGTCTTGACCGTGTCCAGCGGCTGGCCGACCAGCACGACGGCCACGCCGGCCAGCGAACCGGCTAACAGGTCGGACAGGCTGCTGCCGGCGCCGCCATCTCTGCTGATCGAGTCCGCCACAACCGGCGCCGCCGCGTCGCTGCCAGAGCTCATGTCCGGGCGCGGTCGTCGTGGGTCGATGGCACGTGCGACGTCTTTTCAATTGCGGTAACAGTCGATGCGTAAACACGGTTACTCTCGGTCAGTCGAGAATTGTTTATGTTTGGAGGGCTTTGCTCGGACGTTGATTCGTCAGGCCTGTCGAAGAAAATACGATTTTTACGTTGACGACACGTTTTTCGATATTATATTGTGCGCAGAACGTGGGTGAGTTAATGCCGGAACGTCGCGCGTCGTGCGTTCGCCGTTGACGTGTGAGGATTACCAGAAGACGCTCTTGAATATATCGTTATTTTTAGGATTTTTTTTCAACTGTTATACTGTCGATTCACATAAACCTCACACGAGGGCAGGAGATTAGATAGCGACAACGGCGATCCGACCTCTCGACGCCAGATTAATTTCATTGTTGTTGTTGTTGTTGTTGTCACTATTATTACTATTATTGTTATTATTATTATTATTTTTACTATTCCATTAACTGCGACGTAGGTACATGGAGTACACTATACTATACATATATACAGGTAGTGCCACAAATTCATCGTCGACGCGAGCGAATATAAATTATATATTTTTCTTGTTTCGATAGCAGCTCAGAGTAGAATCACGCGTCGCACACGCTGCAGTGACTTATAAAATATTAAAAACAAATAAATATTGGTCTACAGATATCGCGAGGTAGTATTGAGTACTTGCAGCTCACGTCAATGATGGTTTATACTGGTGTGTTGACTATCATTGGTGCCCCAGGGCAATCACATATTTAGAGCCATAGAAATTCAACATGGCATTTCATTTAGGTAATTTCATTTGTTTTAAACCGCACATGATTTATAATTTTTTTTAATCATACATTATTATGTTATATTTATTATATTATGTTCAATATAAACGATTTGGATGGATAAGTTATGTAAACAACGAACTAAAAATAATTGTGTAAACAATGAACTAAAAATAATTTATGGCAACTTACAGTGCATTGAATCACATATTATTAAACTAATATAATAATATACTAATGGTTTATTAGTTATACAACTTACACAAATCTTTTTTGCGAGTTAAAAGTTTTCAAAAATTGGCAAATACGAAGTTTTCCAATTTATATTCTTGGCCACTTCATCTTTCATACCAAAATTACATTGATAGTGTCTATAATTTTTCATTGTGTTTAATTACGACCGTATAAATATTTATTAACTATTTTTAATACAGAAAAAATCTTTTCAGGCTCTCATTAAAATATGGTGAAAAAAGGAAATGTTGACATTAGAGGATGTCGTGGTTAAGGACACATTATTGAGGTATTTTCGTAACTTTTTTTTTATTAAAAAAATATTTTAAATTATTACTTATTCGATTTTCTCACTTAATGCTCTTTTCAAATCATCTATAAATATTCACTAACTTGAAAGTCTAATCCTGTTTTATGTAGGTAGGTCATAATATGGCTGAATATTTTTGATGTAGGAAAACAATTGATATTTGTCATATATTTCTAAAATATATTATTTAAATTAGATGAACATTTATCATTAATATTAAAAGAATAAATGTTTTATCCTTAATTATTTTAATCTAATTAATAAATCACTACATGATTCGCCATGAGAATTGAATTCATTTACTAGAAAGTTGCACTTCAGGAAAAAACATTTCAAATCATTTTTATCGATTTTGAATATAATATTATTATGAAATACAGAGGCACCACCTGATATACCAATATTAATTATTTGAAAGCTTTTTGAAATTATATCAAATATTTCTTAGATCGGTGTCGCAATAATTAATAAAGACAATTCAAATTATATAATATTTTATTGTCTATTGATTTTGCTTCGTGTTTAATAACATTCTTTTGATCAGATTCTTCAGATACAAACTAAACAATTTCAAGAGTTTCGATAAAGCCAATCTAGTTGATTTGCACAGGTGCTTATGTTTTTTGTTAAGTGTTTTGTCATGAAATATTTTAAATATATTACAAATATATTTTTTAAATAAATAAAAAATAAAAATAAACCTAAGACCTCATTATAAAATAAATTATAGACATTCTAGTTTGGCATCCTACGGTATTTGCCTCTTTCGCCCATCTTTGAATAGCCCCGCGTTTTTGGTTATTTTCAACTTAGAACTAGGAAAATTTAGTCATTAAACATCCAAAATACTGTTGATCAAACGCTACCTTTAATCCATACAAATGTCTATACAAATATTCAAATAATATTTTGAAATTACTATCTTATAGTAGTAATATGCACTTTCTAGTAAATGGTTTTCTTGTATTCAGAAATGTTTGATGGAAAATTTAATATTTTCTTCTTGATAATGTACATGGAATTACGTTTATTATGCAAAGAACAATTTTCAATGAATACTAAAACATTTTAAACAATTTTTTTTGTTCAATTTTAAATATTTGAATATAGTTATGTGCATTATATTATACGCTGTCTGCCATTATACTATGTAAATATTAATTGTTCAGTTTTCGTTGAAAATATGCATATTATTAATTTGATAATATACTGGTCAATTGCACCTATGTGGTCTTAAACTTTTAGTATAAAATGACGAGACACATAATTAAACTCATCTAACAATCCCTCATATATCTTTTATTTACAAAGAGTTTTGTCGGTTTTTTGTGACCGAAACACTTGTATCTATCTTAAATATAATACATTTTAAACACGGTATTTTTATTTTCTGTTTATTAGTATGCAGCATTAGTTATATTATTATATGCATAAATACACAACATAATTTCATAATATTTGAATATTTACTTATATTTATTGTATTTTAATAATATTTTAATGTATTGTTAATAGTTTTATGGTGTACATATGATTATATGAAAAGTTTGAAAATAAATTTCGGTATTTTGTACAGTGTCATATTTTCAACTTTATTTCTGGGGGTTGGGGAGTCCAAAAAATGTGTTAATTCTAACATTTTGTGGGTATTTGATATTAGAAAATTGTTATTTATTTACTGTCATACTTAACGTATTTGCATAAACATCATCCACATTATATTATAATATAATGTCAAATTAAAATTGTGTGAGGTTTTGGGGGTACCCCTGGACCCTCTCCTTCCCTAAATACGCCACTGTTTTTGTGTAACAGAAGGAGACTGTAAACACGGCTATGATTCTCTTTCGAAATAATATAGTTTCGTCTCTGTATTATACAAATCTTTATACAATTTAAACATTAATTTCGTTCGGGTTTGGATTAGGGAGGAAACTCGTGCACTTGAAATATGAAAGGCCAACATGGTGCGTATTTTTTGTTTTCTGTCAAATCAAATCCGCTTAATCGCTAGTGCAACTTCTCTGACCTAAAGTTTGCTTATACAACTTAGACAATATTAGCTCATCACTGCAGTGTCTCATAATTTAATTATCCTTGGCCGTGGAAGTTTTGACGGCGCCCTCTTGTAACGATCTCCGCGAAAAGTTTATTGCGTTTTACTATTTATACCTCGTTTTTATATTTACCTGCCTGATTGACACTGTCCCGGCGACTGTGTGGGTTCATCTTACGCGTACCTACATCGATACGCGCTGCACACAATATGATTCAATTCTGAAAACGAACCAAAAGTCGTAGGCCGCTACGGGTACCCACACGTAAGTCGTACTCGTCTCGTCATATCACATTATAGTTATAGACATTTTGAGGCACACTGTAGGCAGTGTTACGGCTTTCGCTAGTACCTACCTAAGTAGGTATAACACCGCACAACGTCGAAACACGCATGCACCTTGCGTGATAATATCACGGATGTATGCATACGGGTGTAGCATGAAAGCCCTCGAAAACATCGCTCTTCGCACGCGAAGCTTACAACACGAGTAATAAAAATAACAAATGTCTATAATACATTGAGCATACATTGGATCTACCGTAGTAAATAATATTAAGCTGCCTATGTTACGAGGTGCATCGCATGTACGTTTTGGTTTTGCGTCTAATACCTGGAGAGCAATAATAATTGACGACTCGAGCCGATTACAGACCACGCACGTCTGCAGTAGTATCTGAGTACATAGGTTTTTGTCGCGACAATAATATTATTATTACCTATGCTGTATTAGCCACCGTTGTCGACGCGCATAATAACAACAGAATTATAATATTGCGTATTATGTAATAATTACGTCGTCACATGCATTATTACTAGGTATATAATAATAATTATTATTATTATTATTATTACGCAGCGGCTAAGTCTGAATATTACCAGCTATACTTTGCCATAACTATACAGTATACATAACTCGAGTGCAAGACGGTACGAAACGAATGGAAAAATTATAATATTATGTTACGTTATGGTAAAATACTGTAAATCCTAATCAAATAACAAAGATAGGTTAACTCCTCAATAATAGTCGGCATAATCATAGTATCCAACATGATAAAATGTATCGAGTTGTTCTACATAAAGAAAATACAATATACTTTATTTAATTCGAAAAATAAACCGAAATAGAATTAAGCGAAAAAAAGAGACAATCAATGAGATCGAAAAACATAAAGTTTTATTATTATTATATTAATGTCTCCTGTCTCCTGTCGTGTATATTTTAAAGGCGATCATAAAAACAAATGTATACCTTACAATTCTATACTTATAAATTTCACAATAATATTAAACGATTAATATTCAAATGTTCAGCGTATTATATTATTTTTAAAACGCTTTTTGTTTTTCAACGTTATGAATAATTAGAATTTATTTTTCCAGTTGTCAGATTGTATCTGTCAAAAAAAATAAGATATAAAAAAAACTAAATTACCACTCTTCATAATTATTGTTTTATTCATTATCTTCACTGTATAACAGAAGTTAACAAAGTTCCTGAAAATAATATAGATTATTGACCTATTTACGTATCACAATTTTAATCTTGTCAAGAGGATTATTTTATTTTGTATAAGCCGCGATTATAAGAGAACACCATGTAATTATTTGTTATTATACTTGTCTCTTCCACATGTCGCATAGAAAGAAAAAACACATTCACAGTGATAGATCGTTATGGCTATGATTATGGAGCAATTCAAAAGTTAAAAGTGCTGAACACTCGTTTTAAATTGAAGAAAGACACTGTTTTCAATATACCCACGTCCTACACAGATAGAGAATTATGTTATGCATTAAGTAATATCAGCAGACAGCAATTCACTACAAATATTTAAATGTATGTTTATTGTTCGTAAATACTATAAGTTTTAGTATGTATTTTCATTTTTTAATGACAATAAACTGACACTGCGCCATGTGCCATTTGCGCAATAAAATAATAATAAAAAAAAAATGGTTAAAATAAAAATAATGAGAGTTGGTTTTTGTGTCACTATTATATTGTTTATTGTTACAAAGTGTTATGCCATTGCGAGAATTATAATAAGTGGATTTCAACTTAATATTAATATTTGTTCATTTAATATTTCCATAAAAACTATTTTCTACATTTAAAAACGTTATGTATACAATCAATTGTGTTTATAAAAATTTCAAGTACTAATTACACATTAGAATGTGAATCAACGCAAATCAATACATTTCGCCATATTTTGTAATAAGTATAACACCGTTATAACATTAAGCTTATTATAATATTTATTTATATAAATAGGAAGTCCAATTGATTTAAACGATTGCATGCTAATTACATACATTCCATTGCAAAATCTGTTTTTTTTTAAAATTTTCTTGTTCAAATAAGTATTGCCATTCATTCATATTTGAACGAAATTAATTTTTCAAAACAAAACTTGTTAGTTAAATATAAAATGATAGCAACTTATGTTTACTAACTAACTATTTGATTTAATGAAGCTAGTAAGGAATGCTCAAATAGTAACACTTAATTTTTTTTTATTAATTTGTGTAAAAAAAAACTGTTCGAATCTGTACAATAATGTGGTTTGTATAAGTATTAATTAATAATTATGGTGATAAATAAATTGTAAGGTGTTTTAGTGACATAAATACTATATAACAATATAACTTATAATAGTAAGTGTTTTAAATAGTTATTTTTTTAATTTTGATTAAATTGCACATTACTTGTAGAAGCCGAAACTCTGATTCATCATGAAATATTTTTCATATCATTTGATACAGCTGAGAAATTAGTATTGCTTTCAAGGAAATTATTACCATTTATCTAACTAGTATATTATTTGTAAAACAATCTGATAATGTATTTGTCTTAAATTACTTTACTCAAGAACTGCACTTTTAATTTTAATAAAAATAATGTTTCCTTTAATTACCTATTTAACAATGCATTTCACAAATAAACTTGCATTAGTATTTTGAGTTTTATCAAAATAATATAATATTAATAGTAATATGAAAATGTAGTTAACTAGTATTAAATGTTATATTCTAAAACTCTACACTCAACAGTACATGTCAAACGAAAACTAATTAGTTTACTGAATTTCAGCCTATAATCTGATTTTAGTACCTATTGCTTACATTTGATTTGTTGAATTTTGAGTTCTAGTTATTTTTAAAACAATAAACTAAATGTGGGTCTTTTAGTTTAAAAATATATTATCTACCTATATGCAATGATAACTATATTATTTTGTTTCAAATTTCAATCGTCTGAATGAATAAAACATTGTAGTAGATTGTTATTATTTTTTAGGCTTAGGTATACTCGAATCTTACAATTTATTAAAAAAAATGTAAATATTAAGTTTTTTATCTATTTAATAATGTAGAAAACAGAAAATCAACACAAAAATTGATATTTTCTACTCATTGTGAAGAATTAATTAAATTAAACACTTAATTTATATAATATAAGACAATGCTATTATTGGATGTTTTTAATATCACTTATCGAAATTGTATTTATAAATATTCATGAATTATTGTGCTTCGAGGTTCTTTTGTTGGAAAGTGTCGTAGAGATGATGACTATACTATAACAACAAATGGGAGTTAGTAGGTATAAAAGTGCAATAGAAAAATTGAAGTAAGTAATGTGGTATTTGTTTTGCTTATTTTATTTTCAACAATTTTCAGCATATCATAATATAGTAATATACCATATTTTGGAACAAATAATCTGCTAATTTTTGTACCAAAAAATTGTTTTTTAAAAATATTTTTTCCCGTTACCTCAAAATCTTTTTTATCCGCAGGGTTTAAATTTTAGAAAACCTGCCATAGTATTTATTTCCTGAGCTATCTACCACAATCTGTATTTTCGTTTTCAACAGAGTACTATTCTATTAAATAAGATTTGCTATCTATCTATTCACGCCCTATGATTATTCTTTATTGCATCTTATTATCTGCCATACATTTTAGTTGTTTTCAGTTCTTTATTTTTTCATCAATTTCTACTCAATTTCTAATAAATCCACTCTGATCAATACTTATTTGATTCGGTAGAATCATTAATTTCACCATTTTACTAAGTTTTCTCATTTAACTGTAAAATTTCTCTTGAATCTCTACTTAAGTCGATAGTTGTATCAATATTGTATTTTAGTATTTATTGCCTATTTGGTATCAAATATAAAAAAGCAATACATTTGGTTTTTTCACCGTATCTAAATTAGGTATTGAAAAAAATCAGTTTTTTAAAATAGACAGTTAAATTATATAAATTTCGTTTAACTAATGAAACAAGAAGTTATACAACTCAAGTGAACATTTTTTATTTTAAATTACTTTAAATTACTCGTATATAGATATAAATGTTAATTTGGTTATTAATCTATAATATTGTGTTAAACTGTTATAAAATATATTATTACCGTAAGTGGTAAGTATTTCATTACTTAAATTTTCTTTCAAGTCTTTTATATTTAGAATACACTGACTAATTTCTTGGAATTTATAAATTAAGTAAGTTTTTTAATAAGTTTTATTGATTAACAGCTGTTGAATTTTAATGAATGGTGATAATATGGTATGATGATAAATACATATTGACATACCTATATATATTATATAAGGTGCCTAATTATTGTAGTTTAATTTTAAGTCATAACTATTCAATGGATTTCATAATAATATCAATTAAAAAACATAGATCCCTTATTCATCTATATTATTGAAACAAATTTAAAAAAATGATATATACATGTATTTATATATATATATATCATCATTAATATAGAATATTATTCTACAGTTTACATGTTATTTTATCATCGTTTTGATAACAATAAAATATGTTATTCCATTCCTTTTTCTGGCCACATTGAAATACACACATAAAATAAATGTAGTAACGCAAACAACATTATTTCTCACATATTCCACGATATTTGGATAAACAATCAATCATTTTTTAATTTATCACCTAACACGAATTACCTTTACGGAACAGAAAAAATGGCGGAAGCTGAACCGAATAAAGAGTATGATTGTTTGTTTTTTGAGTAGATCAATTTAATTCATAATTAATTTTATTACAGAAACACCCCTACTGAATCCCCTGCTGCATCCCCTGCTGCACCCCCTGCTGATCCACCAGCAAATAAAGATAAACAAAAAGCTACATTACGTCCGGTTTTATACAACTTCCGTGTATCTCCGGTAAAAGGCAACATCAAGCAATATGCGTCGCAAATGCCGTTCTCAGTTTTATTGGACAATTTGATTGCAGTGTTGTGGTCTATGTACAACAAAGAAACACAAATTCGATGTGGTAAAATCTATTACACTTATATAGTTAGGTAGTTGTAGCTAGATGCTTGCTCAGGAATTTTGAATGGTGGGGGAGGGGGAGTGTTCAACTTTTTAAGTATAATATAATCAATATACATTATGAATTAAAATTAAAATTATATGCAAGTAGCGAGTACGTATCTATTTGTCAAGTGTAGCAATGAGCTCGCAACTGGTTGTAACGACTAAAATTGTCTTAATTATGTTTTTGAAGACATATTTAAATGCGTAGAAAATAATACGACACAAAATATATAATTTCTGTTTCCTTCGTATTTTATAGGCATTAATCAAATTCAATGGGCGTTAGAGTTTTTGAAATGTTTAAAGGTTGATTATAATTACCCAGAAAGCATTGGTAACATTGTTAAAATTCTCGAAAAAAATATGATAGAACTTTACTCCAAAATTAGTGAAATACAGAATAAGGAAAAAATGCAGGAACCCAGCGTTGAAATATTAGATTCAAAAACCGATTTGAAATCCGATCCAAAAAGTTAGTATTTACATTTTTGTTGATACATACCTAAATATTCGTATCAACACGTTACGCGTGTACTTGTTACTAAAACACCTATGTAGATTAAAAAAAAAAAATATAAGAGTGAACTCATAAAACTCTATCTCTCAAATTGAAATTAAAAAAAAAAATTATAATGGAGAGGACTTAAATAGAACATAACTTATGGTTGTCTAGCTATAACTATCACAATAAAGAAAACAATTGAAATTAGTAAACATATTTATTTAATTGTAAAATGTGACACATCTCCCATAATATTTAATGTGATTTTTATAAACTGTGTTGATGTCTGCAGTGCATCGGCTGTTAACTGTAATTAAAATTATTTTTCTTCTTACATAAACGTGACTAGAAGGCAAGATGTCCTTAGAAATTTCAACTTCAACAATTTTTTTTTTATGATTTTTTAAATAAAACTTATTACTTATTGAGGATTATGTTTTACGTAGTTCTATGATGCTGAACATTAATAAATAAAACTACTAATTAATATATAATGAAATACAAAACATTTTTATTGTTAAAATTAATATTTTTTGAAAGTTGTAGTATTTTATTTTTGTAACGTAATGGAAGATACCCTTTGTTCTAACTTCTAATATGTCATATAATAAAATTATTTATTTTTATTTAAATTTAAAAGAGAAAGACGAACATGCCTTATATTTTAACGAAGATGATATTCAGAAAAAATTAGCAAAAATTAAATTACGAGTGGATAAGGTGACTCGTAAACCGAGATATATAAAAGAATTAAATGAATTGGGTAAAAGAAAACCAAAAGTAGAAGAATGCAAAGATGACGATAAGTCTCCACAAAGTAAAATTAATATTAAAAATATTTGATTTACATAGTTCATAGTAAAATTTATTTTTTGTTTAACTAATAAACTTATAGCTTTCGTGATCGGAGAGCTGAAAAAAATATTGAAAAAGTCTATAGACACAGACACTAGAACAGATGTTGAAGAGTATGCAACAAATCATGTATTTAGTTATTATTGTTTTTAATTTAATTAATTTATTTTTAGGTTAATAAAAGAATTAAACAAACAAAAAAAGACACCTCCTGCAGCAGGAGATAAGACTAATGCAGCAAAAGATAAGACAGATAAGACAGATAAGATGGATAAGACAGATAAGACAGATGTCGACAAGACAGACAAGACAGACAAGACAGACAAGACAGACAAGACAGACAAGACAGACAAGACTGACAAGACAGACAAGACAGACAAGACAGACAAGACAGATAAGACAGACAAGACAGACAAGAAAGACAAGACAGATAAGAAAGATAAGAAAGATAAGAAAGATAAGAAAGATAAGACAGATAAGAGAGATGATAAAGATAAGACAGATGGCACAGATAAAGCACCTACAACACCAGATGAATAATAATTACTAATCAAGGTGTAATTTAAAAAAATTGATTTTAAAATTAAATTTATTAATTAATCATACACATACTTATGTATAGCTATTTTTTAATTTCTAAAAATTATTATTTTTAATTATATTATTGTGTATTATGACGTACAGTGAGGTTAACTTTCCATAATGTGTATGTAGTACACATGTAATATGTGTAATAAAATCGTTTATGAAAAACTTTCTTTAAAAAAAAAATTCAAAGTAACTCCAGTAAGTAATAACAATAAAGTAGGTACTAAATTAATACTGAAACTTTTTGAACTAATTTTGTTTCAGTGCCACATTTAGGTTTTTATTTTAGGAGGAGGATATAAATTTATCTAGTGGTCATTAACTTGATTGGGGTTTGCCCCCCTATCCTCCTATGTTTTCTTAAATTTTAATGCTTTTTTAACATGGCCAATAAAAAATACTTTACCGAAATAATTGTGGGCACTACTTTATATTAATATAATATAACAAAATTCAATATGTTAGTATGTTACAAACTATTGAGATTAAATATTTTTTTTTAAACGAAATTCTTATCTCAAATTTATATGGCATTAAAATATTTTTTTTTTATTGTGTTGATAGTATACACAAATAAATATTTACAATTTTACATTTATTATCTATAACACAAAATCAAATCTCCATTTTTGTTGAGACATAATTTGGTGTTATTTTAATAGATCAGCGTAATGTCAATAAGACCAACTCATTTGGCCTGTTCAAATAATAAATTTATATTTTAGGTAATAATGTAATTATACTAATATGCATAAAATAAAAAAAATAAAAAAATAAATAAAAAAATAAAAAAAAAAAATTGAAAAAAAAAATAAGTAGATAATAATTATTGACAAGTAAATAAGTTTAACACTTACTGTTTCATATAAAGGAACTAATCCTAATTAACTAACTCACAATTTACTACACAAAGGTAATATTCTAATATATTGAAATGTGTACATTTGAATTATGGTTAACCTATTAATCCAATTTTTCGTAAGATATTTGTTGTCATGGTTACTTAATACTTATTAAGAATTTATAACAAATGTATTCAATTTAATTACAAATGAAATAAAGTAGGTATAAATAGCTTGTTTTAGATTTATTTTCTTGAAAGCAGACATATTTCAGAAATTATGAATTCTTATGCCAGATAATAGATATCAGAAAGCGTTCAGATATACTTACAATTGAATACAATAAAAATGATGTCTTGTTTGAGTTAAGTTTCTAATTATTTCTAATTATATTTAATCGATATTTTTCAAATAACGCTAAAAACTTGAAACCCCAAAAACATTTGTATGATTAATCCATGAAGTGGAAAATATCGAGTATTGTGCTAAGTTTCTTCCCGCTTCAATTTTTTGGTTGAGAAGTACGAATATAAAGTAACTTTTTGGATTTCATACTTATGTTATGTAATTACAACTTTAAAATATAACTATTGGATTTCAAAATTATCCATCATAAACATTTATGTAGGAATGAATAACTGTTGACTAGGTACCTTTTTTTTTGCGTTGTCACCACGGCGCTACAGAGGGGTACTTCACCCGACTGGGTCGTCTTTCCCCCTTTATCCGTATCACATATTTATATGAAAATACAATAAGCAATACTTAAACTAAGGCAATTGCCTTTACATTCACTGGGGGGCTCTATTGCTCCAACTTTCGCCGTTGGCGCACAATAATGTCCTTAATTAACGTGTTTTTGCGACACACGTTCTTCCTTCTCCTTCATAGAAAGCACTTTGTCCACGTACTGTTTCAAGGTGGTCTAGTTTTGCCGGCTTTCCAACATTTTTGAGACGATGGAATAGTGTATGCTCGGCATCGTCTTCCTCTGCTCTGCAGTCCACACATTCCGGACTTCGGCGCCTCTTGAATCTTTCCAAGTACTTGCCGAAGCACCCATATCTAGTGAGCATCTGCCTCATCTGGGCCTTTCCTAATGGAATTTTCAATGATTGGTGAATAATCTCGTCTTCTGTTATCTCCGGGAACTCACATCCATCCTCGACTGGTGGCCACTTGATGACAGCGTTCTTCGGGAATAGAGTATTCATTATGTTCTCCAGCTGACCAGGCAGGTTTATTCCTGGAATATGTCTTTGGCCTATAAGTTTTTTAGTTACCAACCTATATGGCAGAATGTTAAGAATGTTATGAATGTAAAGCCTGAAGTTTTGCTCCATAGTAATAAGTTATTAATACAGTTTTGTATATGTAGAACCAAGGTTTTTATATTATTGCCTCTGTAGAATATATTACTGTAATTTGCGTACATAGTTATTTTGTTTAGGGGTCTTACAATGGTTGGGAGGTCATTGATTTTCAACAAAAAGAGAGTTAAAAATTAGAGGAGAACCTTGATGTCTGCCATTTTCAAGTTTGAATGGTGTAGATAATGGCCATTATTAGATACTTGTATTTTTCTCTTCGTGACTCAATTTGTGGTGAAGGTAATTATATACTGTTGCCCTTCAGGTTCAACTGTTTCATATATTTAATTAGTCTGCGTCTCTAAATGGTGTCGAAAGCTTTTTGTAAGTCTAGGCTTACTAATATTAATTATTGATAGTGTCAAAAAGTTTCTTTTATTTAATTTTCAATAATTTCTAGGGAGCCAAAAGCAGAATTATTTTTGCGGAAGCCGTGTTGCAAATTTGAAATTAGACTTTTAGCTTCTAGGTGCCACATTAATCTAGCGTTAATAATTTTCCCTAGTAGCTTCGTCGTGGAACATATAATGGATATTGGCCGGTTTCAAGATACCTGGTCATTTGGCTCATTATGTTTATTAATCAGTTTGACTATACAGGTTAGCTATGTTGACGGGTACTGACTTTCTGTCCAATTATGATTGTAATCTTGAGTAGGTATAGTTTACCGTTTTTCGGTAGATTAAGAAGGGAAATCGTTGGTATATTATCTATAAATCTAAAGCATTGCTTTTCTTACCAGATTGGGCTGTTTCCATTTCTTGCAGTGGGATTGGACTATTATTTATTATTATTATTTATTTATTTCAGCAAATTCAATATCATTATTTCAAAATATTAATACGTGTATTATCGTGATTTTGGCAGAAACTATGATGTACTAATTCTCGTGCACATTTATAACTTTGGAAATCTTGGTGTAGTTTTCAGTACTATAAGTTTTTGAAAAAAAGAATTTTGCGATTCCTAATGATTCTGATCTAACTGCGACATTTTCATCTTCGAAGATTTGTATATTATAATATTTATTGATGCATTTGAAAGCTTTAATTTTGTTCCTTATTTGTTTGTTGTTTGTTTTGGAAGTAATGGTACTTGTGTAGGTGTGCCAACTTTTTGTTTTGCTATCTTTAATTATTCGTCTGGTTTGTGCTCTGTGTTTTTCAAATTCTATGTAGTCACTTTAGGATTTTGTGGGCTTAAATTTGTTGAATGAATTCTTTTTTGATTTTGTTGATTCATGACACTGTAGATTTAACCACGAAACTAGGGAAATTTTTTCTGGGAATTTCACTTGTCCTATTGTTAAATTTGCTATTTCTATTTTATCATTTGTAAAAAGTTATATCTTCGTTTATATTATTTAGTTGTGCGGTTGTGTGATCAATTAGGTTTGTTTATGCTTCTGAGGCAACAGATTCATCATTTTCGTCTGTAATCTTTTTTGCAAAACGAGTTAGTATATTTTTAATGCTTGTGTTTTCTAGTATATGTTTTATTTTTAGTGAAATATCGAGGTATTCATCTTTTGTATTTTTATATTCTGTGTAAATGTCGTATGGATTGAAATTTCCTTGTTTATTTTCGAAAAGATGTTTGAATGTAATGTTATCAATTTTGAAATCTTCAGCATTATTGAAGATCTTTTTCCGTAGGACTTAGATAAGTTTCAATGTTTCCTAGAAATTGTTTGAAAGAGCTAAAAATAATTTTGGGCTTTTTTGTTTCTTACATTTTTGCTGTATGGTTTTCAAGTACGATACATTGTATGGGATCGTCAATGATTGTAGGAGAGTTTGGTATTGAAGGGGAAAGGCAATTGAAATTTACAGTAAGATACCTTTTGGTGCAGGGAGTCGGATCTAAATCCATATTAGATTTTAGGTATTTCATGTTGTGAGTTGAGTATTAAATTTTTTACTTTTGATTTGGTTTTATACGTATTGCTATTGTCATTTTCTTTTGTGACAGTCACTGTTACAAATCTGTTACTTTCATCCTTATCAGGAAATTTATACCCAAGGTCACCTTTAGTCTTACATAGGTAACAAGATCATAAATCGGCTGATACAAATGTTCTATAGTTTATGTCATCATAGTTAATTTGAATTTAACTAGTGAGTTTTTGTACGACATCATAGTTTATGAAAGTTTTGCAGCAAAAGCTTAAAATTTGGGAAAAGTCAGAATCTTGTGTAACTTCTCTCAAGTATGAGATGTTGCTTCACAAAAATATATTATTTGCCGAATTCGTTTTCTATGGCATCGTGTTTGTATGTTGGAATAGACGTTAGATAGAATTATTCTTTTATTTGGATTGCAATTTACGGATTTGGAACTGTTGTTCATTTATTGTGAATATTGGGTGGTTAACAAAAAGATTGTCTACTAATGCTTTATTAGAGAGGAAAATGCACAATCGTTATTCGATATAAGGCGAAGATAATACTAATTGGTTTTACAATATTGCCGATAACAATAATATACTCTTTGTGTTAGAAAGCTTCATTCATGTCAATTAATATTGCTTGTTCTTTTTTAGAGGATGGATAGTTTCATACAGTTGTGGTAAATTATTTTTCATTGGTATTTGTGGATATTTGTGAATCGAGTTTATGTGATGATGATGTGGCATTTTGCGGGGTAAGGATTCGCTGATTTTACTGCTAATGTTGTTGTTTTGGCTTTTAAGATATGGGTTGATATTGTTTGATTGATTTTAATAGGGGATTTTACAGCT